CAAGAAGAAGATGGTGATCTAGCACGTGTTTCTAATGAAGATGATGATATTGTTGCAGTTCCTTCGATCAATAACGAGAATAAGGGTGATGAGGCCGAAGAGGAAGAAGATGATGGTGATGATGTTACAAGTCCATGCCATATATAATAAATGGTCATTTGACCTTCAGAAGTAGTGAGGGGGATATTTGTCAAAAAAATAGTGTCTATAGAGCATAGACGTTAAATAACTAAAATAAAAAATTTTTTTTTGATTACATAAAAAAAATAGCAAAAAATAATTGGTCAATTCATGTATTGCTTCTTCAACATCTCGATAATGCTTCTTTAAAATATTGTGAGGTCGCGTCCGTTATTATTATAAACACGTGATTTCAACTTTTCACTTTAATTCTACATTTCACAATCCATTCCCAAATAACACTGTCACTATCACTATCACTTCATTCCATCATACCAATTCTTCGCTGTATAAAACTATAGCAGTTCGTAAATAATGAATTTCTTTAAGTAATAGTTTTGCTTTGTAGCTTATCAAATAAAGCATCATGATTACAACAAAAGAGACTTCATCATTATCACTGGCAATTTTTCTTGTTTAATTTCTTATATATATCTCGGAGGATATGATTGACAGGACGAATACCAACAACACTTCAAAATACTAAATAAATGACGTATATTAACTAATTTCTTTTCTAATTGCTCTAATCATGTTCATGTACTGAGTAGTAAGAAGAACTCTTTTAATTTGGTTTAAACATTTTCCTTATTGTTGAAAGAATATTCTCAATAACTTTTAATAGTCAAACCTCGTTTCAATGAATTAATAAAATTTATATGTATTTGTTGCAAATCAACTCAAAAGAAACACTATTTCAAGTTTCTCCACTGATTTATAGACAATATATTCTATTTTCTTTGCCTAGTATTAAATCCCTCTTTCTTTAAAGGATAATCACTAGCACCCTTTCATAATGTTGAGTAGCGACATTTTGCAAAAGGGTTATTCCACTGTTTACTCCACTAGCATCAGAACGAAAATGTTATAGTAGACATTATTGTAATAGATACGAAATAAATCCTTTTTTTCCACTGATATCTAAATCAGCGATCAATTGGTCTTTAAAAGCACTTTTACCTTTTGTTTTGATTGTTGGTAGATTTGCTGTATTTATTGGTTGGGGTTTCTTTTGTGTCGTATTTGTTTAATAATTCCTTGATAACATACTTTGAACATTCGATATTAACCGCATTACCAAATTGTCATGACTATCATGTCGGTTGTTACTTCGCTGCCAAACCAGAAAATATTTGTGATTTTTACAACGAATTCATCAGTAATGGATTCCTTTAAATTTTTTATTATAGGAACCCCAGGGATTCTTTCCCACCAACCTAACAAAATATTTTGAGGATTCCTTTTATATGGTATAAATCGCAGAATTTTTATTCTATTGAAATAAACCATATAAAGTCAATACAAATTCATATCAATAGTATATAGCAATAAAATCTACTGATCTATTATTTTGATATAAGCAAATCACTGGTCGAAAAAACGTTTTCAGTTGTAGTTCAGGTATCTAAACATCGACTGAAATTTACCTGATTATATAAAACCCATTTGGCGCATGCCCAGGTCATGTTCAGTATTCTAACTTCGGACGCGTACAAGATTCAATAATTCAGTAGTAAACCAGGTGATTTTTGGATTATTTTCAGGATTAATTATTCAGTGATAAGCCGGGCAATTTTCAGATTTAATTATTCAGTAATAAACAAAATGGTTTCAGATTATGTTCAGCAATAATAATAATATATATATATATATATATATATATATATATATAGCAATTTGATGTCATCAATTAAATTAAACTGTCATCTTCATTAAAACCACCATCTTGCTTTTGAATTAAACAACTATGTATAAATCTAGTATGTATTATAGATGTCAAAAAGTACGCCATACATGCCTATAAGTTACATAATACTTGAAATAACTCGTGTCTCAGTTTTTACAATACAAATATACAATAGAAATTATTAACAATTGTTACTTATTATATACCATTTTATTAAGTAATTTTGATATTGTTTTTTATAATTAACAAAAAAATTCTTGTTGATTATTTCTTTTTTTAAAAGTCCCATTTTTGCCGAATATCAGTCAATCCATCGATATGATCGATGTTGTAATTACCGGTGCTGTGTAATGTCTCTAAAAACGACTTGATTTTGTGTAGTGACTCAGGCATAGGATGGTGTGAGTGTGTAGACATTAATATATGAATTAGGAAAATTAGAAAAAAATAAATTATACAATATAAATATATAATTATTAACAAGTACTTCACAGACATATGATCCTTCGTTAACAGATTTTCCTTTCTTTGTATAGGCTTCATACTTAGGCGATTTCCAAACTTTAAACCTACAAAAGATCCAGCCCGTTCACATTACTCATTAGTAGTGGCAAGTTAACAAATATAAGAATGCAGAATATACTGTATGTTGATTCAAGCGAACTTACAAAGATTCTAATATTTGTCTCGTTGTTTCTCGAAGCCTTTCAGAACTATCTAACCATTTTCCAAATTCGGCATCACACAATTCTTCATCTAAATTTATCTTCGACTCCTCATTATGTATAACCTCTTTACAAGTATTAATTATCATGTCGTTATGATCTAGCTTGTATTTCTCGAAAGGCTCCTTAAAAATATCACAAAGTAATCCAGGCATCTTTGTAAAAGGTTCCGATTTAATATCAAGTACTCCAGAGCATATCGGATGATCAAATCCAAGGCTTTCAACATTTATATTTCCTAATTCCATTTCTATTCTTTCCCACATAGTTTTCTCATAACCGGTGCTCTCTTTTATAAGTTGTCCAACGTCACGTTTCAAACACCGTAAATTTGCATTCGCATCGTCAGGCCATGTCTCGGCATCAATTACCAGAGCCTTCATTTCTGTTAGAGAGCATAAATCTTCGAATGCGCTTGCAACCTAAAATTTAATGAATAACAATTCGCGGGATCAGATTAGGTTTCCATTTTCAAAAACTATCAAAATTGCCGACAATGAGCTCAATAACCAATATTCCGGGCACATATAACTAGTTACTGCCATGCGGGAAGTGATAAAATCACAACGGACATTAGCGCATTCGCTAGCATATATGCCTTTTAGAAAACCTAAAAATACAAGTCATCATATCCATATATTGCGGAGCAATGAGGCTTTGCCCTATCATAAAAATTTTATCGTCTTACCCGCTTCGCTAATTTTTATCTAATTTACAAAATGCATTAGATTATATAGATAAATGGTGACAAATTAATAATATAAATTTAAAATTTAAATACTTCTTATTTGTCAATTTATCCTTGGGATTAATAGCTTTGTTGTCTTAGACTGAGAGCTATTTTCCAAATATTCACACATTCATTGATTTAAAATAATTAACTAAGGTGTTGTTTGTATTTCTACTTTACTTTATGTTATTTAATAAAAGAGTTGCTTATAAAGTAACTACTTGATCTGGCTTGATTTGGCTTGATCTGGAAATTTTAAAAAGTCAATGAAAGTATAAAGAACATATTAGTAATAATAAAAAAATTATTGTTATGCAATTGGGCGAGTTGTCATATGACCGATTGAATTTTCATATAGATATTATTGTAAAATTAATATAAATAATTGTGTCACAATGATCAACAAATTCAAACTTCCACTATGATTTAGAATTTATAGTAACAATCAGAAGGTCATATGATTACATCATACATGCAGAATTTCCATGACATTCTGTGGTATAACATGTGATGTGATAATCAAACATCTGTATTAAACCACTGATGTGCTATATCTTTTATCCAAATCAGCATCTATGAAAATGACGTTGCAATTATCACAGAAAGATTTCTTCAAGAATAACTTGACATGGTCATTACTAAAGTTTCTCAAGTATAGAGAGGGAACCGAAAATTTTACGTATGAAAAAGATAAGGAACATATGTTGTACAGAAGTGCGTTGATAAGCCTTTCCAATGAGCAAGCTCAAACATGTCTTCTCACTTTTGAAGTTAAGTATTTGAGATGTGCAATACGCAAGTAACAGCTGGGTTCAAGGGCTAGAATATGTTCTGGTCTTAGGACACATCATGATATATTGACAACCACCAAGTAGCCAGCTGGATTCGTTCTAGCAGGTGAGAGAGGAGTTTGTCTTCCCTCGGTGCCCTTGAATATACTACACATAAGACAATTCTGCAATTAAAAATTACTATTTGGTCTTATACTAACCAATATCCATTTCTTTTAATAAAAGAGGGAGAAAATTTCTCAAAGTGTTGAGAATTTTTGGAACGGGATCAAGAAAAACCATTTAAATGACAATATTGAAAAAAGATCGGTCTGTAAATTGTGCTTTACAATTGTTTATATACTGCATTGTACATAGAGTAACTGATGATTTGTAAATAGTTAGAATACATCAATGAAACCATAGGTGATTTGGTCAAAGATTCCAAAACTGCAAGAAACTATTTATCCAACAAGCTAGAATCATTTGTAACAAATTCCAAGAAGCGATGTTGTGTAAGTTATTAAGAAAATTCAGTATTATATTTATGTTTCTGTGTAGTAATTTTACTTTTTCTAACATCTAGTCACCCATGGAAAATTCTCAAGATCATTCTAATTTTCACACACCAGATCATAACTAGGGTTTGTATTCATGAATATCATAAGGGGGTCACACATGGTCACATACTATTAAAATCAAGTGATCAACTCATGTTTTTAAGGGATTTTTTGCTGTTTTAATAGCATGTAACCCCCTTAATGATACTCATGATATTCATGAATAAAAACCCTGATCATAACAAGAAGGTCAGGCTAGGTTCAATTCTATATCTCTTTTGTCTCATTGTTTCATACTGATGCAATTCCTTAATCATTTGTTTTAATATGCCATAGACCAGAACAGATATGTCTAATGTCTCATTTGATGAATACATTGATACCATTAATGCCATCAATTCTATTCAAAACAACAAAGAATCTGCTCATACAAAGTAAGTTATGTTCTGCCTAATCACCTATTTATTCATTGTGCTCTAATTTCCTTTCCGTAGCCCACTCTGGTGGGTGTCCTAGACTTTCATGAAAAGAACATGTCTCCAAGTCCACACCTTCCCCATGCCAAGAATTTCCTCTCAGCTAACGAAATCAATCGTTTGATGAATATAATGGAAAGTGCTATTCAAGAAGAGAGTGAAAAAATAAGTAAATTGGCTAATTCACTTTTAGAAGCACTATTATTGTCGGAAATTGTTAGCCTCTGATTTTTCACAAAGGAATGTGGTGCATGTGGAATAGTTGGTGTTGTGATCTTCTGCAAAGATTTGCTAATAAAATGCAGGTGAATAAAATTAATTACATATTATCCTGATTTAGTGCCCACAAACTCTATAAATTCTATAACAAACCAATTTGCAATAGGATGTTAATGATAAAAAAATAATTCAAGATAATCTTGCAGATGTAGATGCTGATGATGACACTACTATACATGCTGCCCAAATCCCAAATGCACAAATTAAATTTGGGACAGCCTACTGAAAGATTCCCAAATCCCAAATGTAGATCAGTTTTCCTGCTCAACCAATAAGCACCCAGAATTTGTGAGTGTGATCTATGATCCCTTTATTATCCTGGATGCTTATTGGTCAGAAGAGCAAGTACAGGGATTTGATCTACATTTGGGATTTGTACATTTGGGATTTGGGATTCTGAATTTTTAATTTGGGCAGCATCTATAGACACTACAATATATGTCGGGAAATGCATTGAGGACTCGTAAGTTTCCTTACAACATAATAATTTGGTCACATCTGTTATAAATTTAATCATGGTATTGTAATAGATTAATAAACTCAAATAATTATAATAGTTACGAATGGATCAGTCATTTTCATGGGCAATGTCAATCTGAATGAACCATTGACATGTTTCTCATTGGGCCTTGTGCAAAATCTCCACAAACTATATTCACATAGTAAGAAATTTGACTCATTCTTTTTGCACAAGGTTGATCATTTATTTGTACTATTAAGCATTTTTTCCTTATAGTGGCAAAAACCATTCAGATGCTGATTGTGAAGATAAAACAGCTTGGTCACAGAACAGTTGTGTTGGTAAGCCATGTGATTTCTTATATTGGGTATGACTTATTCGGTTTTGAAAAATTAACAAGTTAATCCTAACATAGGGCTTTATATGTAGAGCTCATCTCGAGAAGCTGGCATTGGCGAAAACAGCAGGCCAACCCATAAGGATAATCATGACAAGGTGAGGACAGACTTCGTTGATGTGATTAAGGTCTGCAGAGCACAACATATCAAACTTGTGATTCAAATAATCGAGCAGAGTGGGAGAAATCCTCTGCCGGGGAGTCTACAAAAAGCAATGGCTTCTATATTGATACCATTTTTCCATATAATCGGAATGAGAATTCGGTTCTATCTTCTGTTTCAAATCAGCAGAGATCTGTATGGCAGGGTTGGCAAATGTGTGATCCACTGATGGTCTATTGATGGTCCATTGGGTCCATTAGTGTAATACTTTAACCATATTTAGTATTTTATTAATGGCAATGGACCAGTCCAAAATCCATCTGTTCTCAATGGACCAGTCAATTTGCCAACCCTGCTGTATGGTATTTGGGATTGGGCCTCGGAAGACTTACCAATGAAAGATGCAGACATGGGAGAAATTGCTCTATTATGTAAAAGATTTTTGGTTCACAGGGTATGTTGTTTTTTGATTGGTTTTGCTTTAAGTTATCAAGCTTTTACTAATAAATTTAACAGTATCTTATAGAACATGTGGGACAGATGACAAACATTCTTGCTAAGAAGTCTAAAACCTTAAAAGATAAAATAACTGGAGCCAGCAAGTCTTCCCAATCAACAGTAAAGCTAAATAAATTTCGAACTCCTGTAAAAGAGAAAAAGTCAGCAAAGTAAACTGCCACATATATTATGAATATAATCCTTTTATTCTTGCAGTATATTTATATGTGGTCAACTCAGTAATTAATTAAATCATATGTAGCTATTAGTACTGTGATCTGTAAAAAAATTAATTGTAATTTTTTACAGGAATAATCAATATATATGCATATGCAAAAAAATAATGCACTTGAAGCATTTAAAGTTTTAAATTTACTCAATAAGACCCAATTCATGAAGATGTTCTGGAATAACTATATATGGATCTTCATAATACCAAACATATCTGAGGACAATCCAGTTTTCTTTGCACAATTCTTTCTTGAGTTGATCCTGTTCTTGCTGTTTGATAAAATTATTGGGATCATCTCTATGAAAGAATTCGATATATTTTTCATGTTGTTGCCCTTGTACTTCTATAGCTAATCCAAATTCTGGATAGTAAATATCAAGATGTAGTCCAGTTGGATACTTGAGAGTTTTAAGAAAGTCTGGTTGGTGTATTTTCGATGGTAGCCCAAGATATTTTGTTGCAATTTCACAACATAATTGCTCTTGTTTATTTTTGCAGTAGGGACACCAAGTTCCTCTTTGAATTTGATCAATTCGAGCCAACCATGAATGGCCTTTAGAACAACTCCAAGAAAGTGGAGTACTTTTAGAATTGCAATTCTATCTTATGTTGATCTTACTAATTTTTTTTTTGGCATCTTGACCTCGGTATTCTAAATAAAATTGATGAAAAAAAAGTTAGTCAAATGAAATCCAGGAGAAAGATACCCCAAAAAGCACTGATTTTTACCAATAGACCCAATGCTCCTATTTAAATCAAAGACATAAATGGCCATAGAGCCTATTTCTTCAACTGCATAACAAACTCAGTGCTCCTGAACAGCCCCAGAGTAATTACCTGGTTAAATAACAAAAATCAATCAGAAACACATTTCCTCTGTGGTGACAGCACAGTAGGTCGCATAACAATAACCATAGATCAGTTTTTTGAAGAAAACAAATATTAATACAATATTATATATACAATAGGAATTCTTATTAATAATAGTATCATTGCCTGTTACTATTAGTAATATATATCAACTAGAGTATTTTGACATTGATGTTAATTTTTTTTCTTTGATGGTCATGCAACAATAATTCGTCGTTTAACTATAGATCCGTTTTTTTTTTGAAAGAAAAAAAATATTAATACAATGTTAGCAACCTGTATTAACAAAATTCTTTTTAATGAATGAATGAAATAAACCAACAGTTCAAGTCGTATTACTCAAAGATCATTATGTCCCTTATTTTTTTAAATATAATACAAGCTAGTAATAATAATAATAATAATAATAGCAGCAACAACAATGATACATTAAACAATACAATATTCCAAAGACTTTGAAATGATCTAATGGTTGAGTAATGATGGCAGTTATTTTCAAGATGTAGTAATTGGTGTTATTGGCTTATTATATTTGAACTTGTATACACCACCTACCTTTTCAAAGATTATTTTCTTGATCCAAAAAGAAAACGGAAAATTTTGAAAAAAAAAATTCGTGTGAAGCGTTATTGATTTCGACCAATGATATTTATTTATTTTATCGATGGGGAATCACGTGGTAAATTAATAGTAAACAATGAATGGCTCAAAAAAAATATTTTGATCGTAAAATAATAAATAATACAAAAACAACGTTTATGTTTAACAAAAATCAAAACCAAACCTTTGCTTTCTTTATTAAAACAAATAAACGAAACCTCGGCGTTATATGCCACTCTGATAACCAGATGGACAATTAAACCCTACTATTTAATTTCCGACCACAAAAGTGTTTTATTAAGCGAAAAAGAATTAATTAATTCATTTTGAATGAATTATATGCAAAAGAAATAATTTTATATTAACTTCTGTCACTACTTTTATAAGCGAGACCTGAATATTAATTAAATAGTTAATTAACCAGCCAATTGATTGATTGTCCTTTCACTTGATCAATTTTTCTTTAAAAAATTTATTAACATATGTATATAAAGAAATAAGTAAGTTTCAACCAGATCTGCAAATGGTTGAAATAGTTTTGACTTCATGTATAATGCAGATCATATAGATGCTCAAATATTTCTGTTTGCATATAATCCAATTTATCATCATCAGGAGATAAAGGTAATGGTTTTTCTCCTTTATGGATTTTTTATCATAATTATCTTTTTGATTACTAACTTCATATGTACATGCAGTATAATTATTTGAGAAATTTTTGACCATGCAAATTGTGAAAAATCTTTGTGTGATTTTTTAAGAATGTTTTTGATCCAATGAAGTCTCTTCTAAGACATGTAGACCCAGTTTCAACCAAATCAGGTAGTCTGAAATATTACACATTTAGTGATATTATGTAAAACAATAAATAAATATAAATAAAATATTTTACTATGGATGTTTTTGATCACAGCAAGTCACTCACCCAATTTTTAGTTGTATTGAGTGATCTAAAAATGAAAACACGCCTATTTGTCTTTTGAATTTTAATAGCTGACAAATATTCAGTTTTAAAATTCATCATAACTTTATTTCCTTTAGTATAATAATAATGAATCACGGATGATCTGTTGAACATCATCAATATTTGTTGAAGCTGTGTTTATTTGTTCTTATTTGGTAGTGTTATTTAATACAAAGAAATTATTAGACATTATTAAAAAAATTATTGGAAAGAGGTTATTTTCTAAGATTACAAAAATCAAAACATTATTATTACAAATACTTGAAAACATTATGTATACTTGAAAGTATACAAATGAATATTCAAAAATTTGAATATAATTCGAACGTTGTATGGGGTAACTTTGTATTTCTTCTTCTGATTAATGTAAAATATGGTTTGTTGCACAATCAATAGTCACATAAAAGCCACAAATGTACATTTAGAGAGAATGGTTTTATATATGTGGAGTATCTAGTTACGTGCATGTTTTTGATATTTCAAGCAAAAAACTCAAATTTGATCCAGGGTCTCTCATACCTAGAGAACCTCATATGGAGTGCAACAAGCAGAAAGTGAGCCATTGGTTTTTTTAATCAAATTTGAGTAATATCATATCTATATATATAATATGCCTTAAAGAACATTTTTAGCTTAGAAATATACTAGCAGCTTATCTTAGTAATTACACTTCAGATGTAGATCTTTTTTGTCTCTTTCTGCTTGTCACATCCCATATGGACTGGAAAAAGACTGTGTATCAGGGGACGTGCCTTTATTCCCAAGTCCCAAGCTTTGGGAATGAGGAGAGTGCCAATTTGTGATGAAACTATGACAGGGGCCAAGATATAACTATTTTTTTTCTTTTCACACCCTCATAATCACCCATATCACATACATCCTTTTCAACAAACATTTTTATATATCTTTATTCTTTTTTGTTCAGAAATAAAATAATTTTAATAATTTTCATGATTTACTCTTGCACCAACATCATTCAACTTTGAAAATAATAAGTCATTTTCTCCAATAACATAAGTCAATATAGTTTTTTGATAATACTCATCTGAAAACAATTCTAAGTTAGTTATGATATCATCTAATAAATATGCCTTGCCAATTGCTATACCATCTGGGATAGTGTCACTGCTAAGGTGTGTTATATGAATGTGGAAATGATCTATATTAAAAATATTTATAATTAGGATTGGACATAGCTATATATATGTAATATAAAGGCTCAATCACTTACAATAGGAAGGCAGGTAGTGTACAAACAATCTTAATTCGTCTGCACCAACTCCCACAAACTTTTTTGGCACAAATTCCAAAATTTTTTTTCTTAAATTTTTTAACAATGGTATATGTGATTTGTTCAAATCTCGAAGTGAATGAATATCATTTCGATGAACAATTGCAACCAAATAAAGTGATTCTAAAGTTTTGTTATCCCATTTCCTACATTATCACACATAAATAAAAATTAACAAATTAGCATTAACTATTATTATTGTCAATAATTTTTTTTTCATCTTCATCTTACATATCAGGTAGCAAAACAAATCCAATTTGATAATTTGGATCTTCCATCAAAATTTTTTCAGCCTCACTCTTTTTTTGCAAAATATTATAAACCCATTGTATTCTGCTTGATGGTATAGAATCTATATATGGCTCTATAATATTTTTGTATATTTGAGGAGTTTCATGTATTAAATAGCGTTTCTGATGACTATATTTTTTTATGTGCTAAATAATAAATAATCAATGCATTCTCTTATTTAATAATTAATTAATTCTATTTATTCTCTTGATCATAATATTTAATATTTAATTAAACTTACAGTTTCTGTTGCAGGCCAAATTAGTGTCATATTAATATCTGGCAATTTTTCATCTTTATTCAATAAACCATCATACCAGTGATAAATATCATTTTTATCTTTTAACATCCAATCATTGATTCGTTGGCTAGTAAAGTTAGATAATTCCTTATTATCAAAATGTGATTTTTCAACTAATAAAATCGCATGATGCTTTTGTAAAGTTGGATCATCTGATGATGATGATGGCGGTGTAGACAAATAACCTAATAGATTAATTTTTTTTGTACGAGTGTCTTTTATAAAAGATGACCATTTAATGATATATATATATATATATATTGATTTATAGATAGATATAGATAAAAAAATAGAATAAATACCTTCACTTAAAACTTTGATAAATTCAAACCTTTTTAATTCCTCAAAAGTTGGCGGCTTAGTTTGTTCTTTAGTTTCTGACATCTTTATTGATTATTACTCGAATTCAACGAATGTAGGTCATTCATCTATGAAATTTCATATGTTACACTAAATATTTCTATAATAATCGGCCAACCAACAATGTTTTAGTATGTGGTGGCGAATCTACAGTTAATTATATTACACACTTATATGATGACCTCAAAAAGAACAAAACTTAATCCACTTTTATTTGAAAAGATTGTTTTTTGAAAAAAAAAAAAAATATTGACAATTTTGATAGAATGTAAAATGATTAAATAAATTTTAAATTTTTTGTTAACAATGAATATTCACTGGATAATCAATGAATAATCATTCTCACTGATTAATTAATTTAATGATTTAATGAATATTTGGATGTTTTAATTATTCACCAAATTATTATCCGAATATTAAGCTTAATTGAATGAATATAAAATGAATGAATATTCGGTGGTTACAATTTGCTTTTGGGAATAAAAAAAAGGATTTCTTCAAGAATAATTTCAACCAACATATAAAAGAGGTTCTTAAAATAGTATATAAGATATGCTTTTTTTGGATCCATAGTGTGTGTCACCCCAAATAATTGGTCTTCTTTATTCTAGTTAAAAGCTATCAAGCTACATTGGAATTTTTTAAATAAGTTCAATGCAACAAGAATCATGTCAGTTAAAGTTTGAAAAATGACTGCCCCCTAGTAAACCAATAAGTTCACCATGAAACCACCTTTCACTGTTACCTACTAAATCAGGCCCTGTAAAGGTATTAAGATTTAACACCTGACATTCAAATGTAGATAAAAGCAAATGGTTATTACCAATTATAATAATCTAAAAGGAAATCACATGATGCAGTTGCATATTCTATACCCTCAGAATCATCTGATAAATTGTTTGTATCTCTATTTAGACTATCTATTTAGACTATAGAGGAGTTGTTAATAGGATTTTTATTGTATTTCTTTTTTAGTAATATTTAAAGAGATTTCTAATTTAATCATTTCTTCACATCTGGGTTTCCAAATGCGCTCCATGATTTTTAAAATATATATTGTTCATAATGATAGGTGTAATTTGGGTAGTGATTTTGAGTTTGTGGTATAAAAAATTACAAGAATATATCATGAAAATTCAAAGTGCTATATTAAAATATTGTCGATCCTTTCCATTTATCGCGAATGGCGAATTAATGTACCAATCAAGCTTCAGATTAACTGCAATTAATATTAAGATTAGGTGGGAAGACCTTGCAGTATTTATTATTATCAAAATATTATAATTCTAGCAAGAACAAGTTGTATTTTATTATTTTCGCAAACTATTCCTAAATCAAAGGTTTATCAATTACAGAGGGAATATGGTTATTTTTATAGAAATCTATAGTTTGTTTTGCCATAGTTGCAATTTTTTCTGGCACAAAGCCGTATTTTTTGAAAACTTCTTTATAAGGCCCAGAAGAGCCAAATGATTTCATACCAAAATTTACATGAGCATATTTGGTCCAACCAAATGTAGAAAGTGCCTCAACACTTAATATAGGAATACCATCAGGTAGAACTGACCATTGGTATTCCTTAGTTTGTTCTTCAAATAATTCAAACGATGGTAAAGATACAATGCGAGTATTGATTTGATCTTTTTCTAGTAATTTGGCTGTGTCAACGATAAGTGATACTTCTGATCCCGTTGCAACTAAAGTGATTTGCGCATTATCACATTCTTTCAAGACATATCCGCCCTTAAGAACTTTTTCAACTGAAGTATCTTCCAGTTGAGGAATACTGTGACGAGAAAGAACTAGTACTGATGGACAATTTGATCTTTGTATTGCAGCTAAATAAGCACCTGAAACTTCATTACCATCTGCAGGGCGTATTATTAATATATTTGGTAATGCACGAAGGCTAGCCAAAGTTTCAATTGGTTGATGAGTAGGACCATCCTCGCCTAATCATCATAATAATAATGATAAAATCATTTCTTTATAATTAAAAAGAAAATAAATATAACAATATTTACTCACCTAAACCAATAGAATCATGAGTCACGATATAAAGTACACGGAAGGAGGAAAGAGCAGATAATCTTACAGAACCCAAACCATAACTAATGAAATTCAAAAATGTCCCACCAAATGGAATTATACCACCATATGCAGTCAAACCATTCATAGCACCACTCATAGCATGCTCACGAACTCCGTATCTAATATATCGACCTGCATAATTCCCCAAGCCACTATCATCAGGTTGAAAATCCACAGCTGTTTTCCAACGTGTCAAATTAGATTCAGTCAAATCTGCAGATCCACCAATCAATTCTGGTAAAACATCAGCAATTTTATCCAAGACTTTTTCTGACAATTTTCTAGTAGCTAGGTCAGGATCAGATGGTTTATATCTAGGTAAATTGTCTGCCCAACCCTCTGGTAATTTACCCGAAAATCTTCTTTTGATTTCATTTCCCTACATTTACAAAATATGTATGTGCATTGAATAATAAAATTATTTAGGCATTAAGATAAATTTTCAGTATGCTAACCAATTCAGGATATTTCGAACAATAACTTTTAAAAAGTTTATTCCAATTTTCGTCAGCATCAACACCCCTCCTACCCACTTTTTTATAAAAATCATAAACCTGTCATTATTTAATAAAGTTGTTATTGCCATGTCATTATCATGTCATTATTATTTATTATTATTAGTTATCCCATTATTAATGTTACCTCATCTGGTATATAAAAAAATTTATTGGGATCAAAATTAAATTTTTTCTTAATTTCAATAATGTCATCTGGTGATAAAGGTGAACCATGAACTTTTCCGGTGCCTTGATCTTTAGAACCAATACCAATTGTAGTTCTGATTTTAATCAAGGAAGGCTTGTCTTTAACATTTATTGCATTCTCTATTGCTTTGCAAATTCCGGCAAAATCATTATCGCCATCCTCAATAAATTGTGTATGCCAACAATATCCTTCAAATCGTTTAACTACATCTTCGGTAAATGCTATATCAGTGTTACCTATATTGGTATTTTTTAAATACATTATTATCATTCATTATTAATAAAAATTATTAAGAAACATTTGTTTAATTTGAATAATGATAGATTTACCATCAATAGAGACATGGTTATCATCGTAAAATACAATCAAGTTTCCAAGCTTAAGATGACTATAAATATTAATATTTTTTTTTAGAATAAATTTATTAAGTAAATAAATAAATAATCAATGTTTACATTTTTTTTATTACCCTGCAAGTGAAGCTGCTTCAGAACTAATACCCTCTTGAAGACATCCATCACCAGCAATTACAAAAGTATGATTCGTAAACAAATCAAATGATTCTTTATTAAAAGTCGCAGCAAAATGTGTTTGTGCAATAGCCAATCCAACCGAATTAGCGAATCCTAGTTATATCAGTAGTATATATATATATATAATTATTTGCAGATCCGATTCAGATAAATTCTAATAATCAAATCTTACCTTGTCCAAGAGGACCTGTGGTTGTTTCGATACCAGGTGTTAAATGACATTCAGGATGACCAGGCGTTCTTATAAATAAAAAAATTAGATCAAAAAGATATGGTAATAATTGATGAAAAATTATAAAAACTCACTTGCTATCTACTTGACGAAACTGTTTTAGATCATCCATGGTAAGGTCAAAACCTAGGACATGTAACAATATATATTGTAAAACACATGCATGACCATTTGATAATACAAAACGATCTCTATTTATCTAAAGTCAATTAAAACATCATGTAAATTTATATATAATAAAATAATTGGATTATGTTCATATACTAATAAACTAATAAACTTACCCAGCTTGGATTTTTGGGGTTAATAGTGATAAACTTCGAGAAAAGCGCATGAGCAAGTGGAGCACAACCCATAGGCGTACCTAAATATATAATATCAAGAATCAATGGACTAATAATTACGAAAAGTTTTAGTTTTATATAAAAATAGTATATACCGGGATGACCAGAGTTTGCCTTACTAACAATATCAGGAGCAAGAGTACGAATAGTATTGATACAAAGTTGATCTATAGAATTTGCCATTTTTTTTTTTAATTTTTTTTTAAAAATGATTTTTTACATTATTTATATATTTATAGTATATAAAATTAAAGGTTAGAAATTAAAAAATTTATGACGAAATGAAGACGATCATTGACGTATTATGAGCATGATAATGATAAGCGTGAGAATATATCTAATATTAATATATCCAATCACGAATATTTTGGAAAATTTTTTTAAAATAATACATTAACAAAATAAAAAACTTTTTTTTTTTATAAAATGTCTTTAGAAAAAATATACAATATATTTTCGAAGGAAGAGTGTAATTCGTTCAATTATACATGGGTTATTGAGAATTTTCAAAATTTTTATATATATAAAAAAGTTCTTAAAATTAAAAGTGATGAATTCACTGAACCAAAATTAAATAATAATTTTTTATTTGAAGAAGAAGATTTGTTTACACCATTATTTATAACAAAAGCAGACAAACTAGATTATATTTGGCAAATTCATCTCTATCTTAATATAGATGTGGAAGAAAAAGATTTTATTTCGTTATATCTTTTTCCTATAAAAAACAATTCTAATAGATATGTTAAATGGAAATTTGAATTATATAAATATACAAGTAATGATGACAATGATGAATTTCTTGAAGAGAATGAGAAAAACGAAGAAGAAAATTTTGAATTATTGTCAAGAAATTATGAATACGAGCACGACATATTTGATGATGATGAAGGATGGGGATATGAGAAATTTTGTGAAATCAAAAAGATTTTTCCAAATTTTGAGGATTATAAGAAAACCAATCTTGTAATTCATCTACACATACAAACTCAATGTTATTGTATTTTACCCTATGAAATTTTTTTGAATTCTACAAAAAATTTCGAAAATTCAACATTTGAAAGTTACTTCGATAATGAAAATTTCAGTGATGTTACATTTGTGTTTCCGTGTGGAAATCAACTTAAAGCATCACGTAAAGTTTTGTCAACCAAATCAACATATTTTGAAAAAATGTTCACAGGAGAATGGATGGAAAGATACGAATCAATAATTAAAATTAAAGAGACAAAATTTGAAACATTTAGATCAATAATTTATTTCCTTTATACTGGAAAAATTGAACTTGATCAATCATTTCAAGATTTGAAAGATCTTTACATTGAAGCTGATATACGTGGAATAGAGGAGGTTGTTAAATTAATTACAATATCTTTTTCATACAAATTAAACAAAGATAACTGGTATGAAATATTTTTGTTAGGAGATGATACTAATAATATTTCTCTAAAGAATATTGTATTTCAATATATGTTTGATAATTGGTTAGAGATTGAAAAAAATCAAGAAACTGATTATTTATTGAGTTATGATGACGGGAAATTAATCGACCAATTAAAAAGAGTGGATAATTCTAATACAATAATTTCGAATACTTGGAACCTTGTATAATATAAGAACGTTTCTTCATTGTTTATGTGTCATTATTTTATTTATTTATTTTTATATTTTAGTAAAAAAATAAAAATAAAATCCAAAAATTCTTAATACACCATGAATATTAACATTGAATGCATCACTCTTATTCCTATTATTCTTACTTGTGGTTTTTTTTATATATGTAGAGCCAAGTTATCTAATATTTTGAAGCCATTTGTTGACAATTTATCAAGTTTTCCAAATACCATTGACAAAGACTAGTATCATGATTATTTTGTTCTAAACATTTAGTAAAGGCTTTTGCATCATTTTCACAAGTAATAACTCCTGGATTTCTGCTAGTTGTTTCTGTAGAGTAAGTTTGATATTGTGTTTGCTAAAATTAAAAAGATAAATGTTTATTTTAAAAATTAATTAAAAAATAAAAAAATATTATTGATTATAATTATACCTCTGGAATAGATTGTTGGTTAGACTCCTGTGGTGCAGGTATTTCTGATGAACCACCACCTGTAAAAAGTGATGTGATACCATGCCCCTACAACAAAAATAAATTATTAGTGTGGTTTGTTTAAATTAATAAGACCAATAATCAATATAACTCAATGATATTTCTTTACTTACAATGCTGTGACCAACAGCAACACCAGCTGCAGTAGATGCCATCTACATTAATAGTTAAAAATAATTAATTCATCAATCGATTGAATGAATGACATTTTTTTTTTTGTTTATTTTTTTACCTGACCAAATAAACCAGGTTGCTTTTGATTAGGTAAAGTTTGTGGGGGTTTTTGTACGTTTGCTGGTACATTCGAAGCAGGTTGGACAGGGCGAGCGGGAAGAGTTGAAGCTTGTCTTTTTTGTTGGGTAGGTGCTTTAGAAGTTTTAGGCGCTGTTCTTGTTCCTCCACGACTTTTACGTGCCATCTTTATTATTATAATAAATGTAAGATTTTTTTTCTATGAAAATTTGATCTTGCGATACATAATTGTGCAGCTTTTTGTAATGTCGTGTAACACTGCCGTAAATAATTAAACGATCCAAAAAGAAAGCTCTGTCATTTTCCTAAACTTTTTTTCAAAATGCCAAAGATCAGACATTCACGAACTAAAAAACCTCCACAAGGCTTCGAAGACATCGAACCAGTTTTATTGGAATTTGCTCAAAAAATGAAAGATGGTAATTAAGCTACCACATTAATAATAAATCTAAATAATCGTCAACACAATATCTATTTAAGCATTTATTTGTAATTATTAATAATTTATCATTTAACTAATAAAGCTGAAAACGAACCACATGAAGGAAAACGTCGTGTTGAATCTTTATGGCCAATATTTCGATTACACCATCAGAGATCGCGTTATATATATGACCTTTATTATAAACGAGAAGCCATCTCAAAAGAAATTTATGATTATTGTTTAAAAAACGGTTATGCTGATGGAAATTTAATTGCAAAATGGAAGAAGGTAATTATTATATCATTACCATCATCAAAAATTATTATATCATAAGCATACATATAATTAATTAATTATTATTGTTATTAGCCTGGATTTGAAAGACTTTGTTGTTTAAGATGTATTCAGCCTAGAGATACAAATTTTGGTACGACGTGTATTTGCCGCGTTCCTAAATCCAAATTAGAAGAAGGTCGTGTTGTTGAATGTGTGTTATGTGGCTGCAGGTGACGAATTTTATGCATTATATTAAGTTTTGAGCCTGATACATCATTAATAATGTTGAATTTTTTTCTTTATTTCTCTACTGTCAAATAGAGGTTGTTCAAGTACTGATTTTACTTTTATCAAGAAAGATCAAAAATCAAAACAGAAAAGACTTCAAGAAGAACAGGAAGGTGAAGAGGTTGAAGGTGAAGGTGTGGAAGAGCAGCAGCAACGACAATTAAATCAATATATGGCAGCTCAACAAGAAACATATGGAGAATCATCTTCGCAGTCAACATTAGCTGTAAACACAACCACAAACACTACCCAGAAATATTATGAAGAAGAAGAAGATGATGACGATGTTGATGAAAAGGAGGAGGAAGAAGAAGAAGATGATGTTGATGAAAAGGAGGAAGAAGAAGATGATGACGATGATGATGAATCATAATTCTAATACTAACTTCTCTTTAAATTCAGATTACTACGGTAATCCGAATAGCAAGAAGGGAGACGGATACGGAAAATATTTAGTTTTAAGGAATATAAATGACAAGATAAATAATTAATAAATTTATAATGGAGATTAAATTAGTCATTCATCAATAATTCATTAATTTCATCACCCCATCAATTCTTTCAATATTTTTCCTATATACTATCATTACTAAAATCTAATCTTTAATAATTATCAAATGAGAATGAATAAATGAAATTTTTATTCACCTTTGTTAAATCACCATTTAAGAGAAAAGGGTTAAAATCAAGATCATTTAATGAGCTGTCATTAATTGTATTACTTTTTAAATTCAAATTAACAAATTCATCATTTAATATTCTACTTGTATGACATGCTAATGGATGTGATTTATGAATTTATTGTGAATTACTATTATTACCATTATTATTATTATTATTATTACTATTACTACTATTACTATTATTACCGCCACCATCACCAATATTAATATTACTATTACTTTCATTAGGACTTTCAGTTTTAAGAGAAAATACTCAAAGCTGGTCTCTTGACTGGATCCACATCCCAACACCTTTGCATCGTACGTACATAATCATTAGGTAATATTGGTGATTGTTAACCTTCACATATTTTAATTGCAAATGAAAATTATATGCTTCATCATCAAATAGTAGATGACCTGCAAATATTTCCACATTAACATCCAACGCTATAAATATCTGATTATTTGTGTATTTTTCTGCTCTGGTGTAATATAAGATACAATTCCATATATTTTATTTGATGGTTTTTCATCAACTGGACCACATAATCCAAAATCTGTGATATAACAAGTACCTCCTTGCAACAATACATTACCACCATGCAAATCAAATCTTTTGAATGTATAAAATATAATGATTCACATGATATTTAAAAATACTAATTCCATCATTTGATGTTAAATTATAATTTTTTTTTTATAATCTCTTAAAATTTCCCTCTTGCACATAATTAAGCACTTTTCATTTTCTAGGAATTTAGTCATAACAAGCCCTTAATCACGTGTTTTCTGACCTTGGAGAACAATTGAACCTGCTTTAATTTTACAATAATTCAATGCCTGAAAATTAATTATATAAATAAAATCAATCAATTTAAAATAAATGGTTTATTTTAAATAAGATCAATCATCTCATCAAAAAAGATTACTTGAATTATTCAATGATTTTAATACTGCATCCTGAACTCCAAAATAATTAAACATCTTTTCATTTTCATCATAACCATCAATAACTCCTTTTGTCTAATCAGTAACATAAATAGAACTGAATTCACCTTCTGTTAACTTTCTATATGATCAAATTGCTCATAAAGTATCCATTCCATAATTCCATATGGAAGAGATGAAAACTGCTGACATCCTTGAATAAAACTATCAATTATCTCATTTCCAGACTGAAAAATAAGTGTAGGTAGGCTAATACACTTTTCACAAAATTTAACAGAATATCTTGTTATTTACAATCGCAATGATTGGTTCACCCCATTTATTAATTGCTTTTTTAATTCAAAATCATAAATAAGCCTTTTCCTATGATATTCCTTTCATTTTCTAATAGTTCTTTGTTTTCTTTGGCTAATAGCAAAAAATAACCTTTTCTATTTTCTCTGTTAGGAGTAGTTGGGAAAGCAGAATAAGCAATACTATTCATTTCATTATAAGTTTTATGTGCTAAATCTCTTCTGTCTTGTGTTGATAACTTAATGAAGGACATTTTTATTTTTTAAATAAGGGCCTTTGTTTGTTTTCTGCAATCACCACACATGGTATATTTGTTTTTAATTTTTATAAGCAATGCACACGAATTTTAATATGCATTGTTTTAATTTCAAGAGGTTTCAAATGTCCATCTATTTAATATCATTTAGCATAGGTTTGGTAATGCTTTTTGACTCAAATCTTCTTGCAGAAGGATCAAGTAATGTTCATTATAAAATATGGTGATATATACCATTTAGATTATTTTTATAGGACGCGAAAGATTTAAATGCCAATTACAGTTTGTGTTCTTTGTGATTTAGATGGTTTGATTCTGATTCTACGATCAAATTAGCTTACATTTTAATTAGCAAAATGAATTATTGAATTCCTAAAAATATTTATTTATTTGTATTTTCAAACGGAGGTGAAGCGAAATAATACTTTTTATTATTATTAACATTGGAAATAATAATAGTATGTATGATCTTACGTCAACCAGAATTTCAAGGCCTTACAAGTAAAATTGGAATTTTCCTAATTTAACCTTCAAAAAGTTCTTAACAACTTTGCAAAGTGCATTCCGATGCACCCATTACAATTGTCTTTACTTTATACGCCCATCTAGTTTTATGAACATCTCGAGGAAAGTGCCAATAAATGCAACGCTTTTAAATTGTCATAGAATAACCAATACTAGCTAGCTTCTTGTTTGAGTAGTCGTTTGAAAGTTTTAGTTTAGCTTTCAATTTTTCATTTAATGCGGGAAGGTTGTTAGTGCAAGTCACTTAGCCCCGCAAACATTTTATTGGTCGTGTAGATCCTTCAAATCCCCAAATATGGAAATGCAACACCCCAAAATAAATCATGTTTTTGAAGCCAGGACCTTCCTCTACATCGTTACAATTTCATCTCATTGGTATGTCATCAAATTACTGTCGAACCTCGTTTCAACGAAGTGGCTGGACATATAAGAAAATTTCATTCAAAATTCGTTGAAACGAGATTACTACCGCGTTTCAACGAATTTTTGTAATGTATAACAAGATTTTTAAAAATTCGTTTAAACGAGGATTTGACTTATATATAGCGAGCTAAGCAATTAATTGCACTGTGGCCAGTTTAGGAATTGTAACATTTGAGCCCCCAAGTAATAATACACTTCAGTCAAACGTTGCATATCGAATTTTTTGGTGTTTCCAAACTGTCCAAGTGCAGTTTCCCAAGAGAGAGAGATCTTCAATCGTCATGTTGCTTTTTTTTGACATTTCTTATAATTATTTATTTAACATTGTTTGACATTAATAATTATTACGCAAAACAAACGTATCAACCATTTGTTTGACAAAAATATAAATCCCTTAATGAATGCCCCAAAAAAGCAGTTTTCTTTTGGATGCGTGGTGTGTGGGTGGTATAAGGACGCGTTTCGCCCTTTTTATTTTCTCTTTAAATTGTTTATAAAAAAAAAATGGATTAATTTAAAACATGGGCAGAAGAAAGTAGATACACTTGCTTACATATAAAATTTTTAAATCCACATGAAGCTACTACAATAAACTCATAAATAAAATTTCATATTCCTTATGAAATCACATTGAAATGTGACTCGATCAACTCAATCAATCATTAATCAATATGTTTGATTTACCTTTTAAATTTTATCATATTAAAAAATAGCCATTTTATGATCCAAGTATGAGTGCCAATAATTCTATGAATGAAGTACATAAAGTTACTCTCTCTATAACGAATCTTTCTATAACGGATCTTGCTCTATAACAGACTGGAAATTTATATAAATTATTGCTGTTTATAATGGATTCTCTTTTATAACGGACGTTTTTCTTAAGCCAAATGGTCCGTTATAGAGAGAGCGAACTATATATATATAAAGAGTAGTTGTTATACAAAATGAATAAATATGAAAATTTTTAATTGATATATTTAGGTTTGTGGTTGACCAACCTAATTTTCAAAATGAAGAATCGAACACAAAGACTTTTATTATAAAAAGTATAAAGAATAAAAAACAAATATTTTATAAAAATGCAGGATTTGGATTTGGATTTTAATTGTTGTCTTATAGTTAAAGGTATTCTCCACCAATTGGAAGGTTTTATTTATTAGAGAAGAAAGGATAAGAGATAAATGTTGGCACGTTAGAAATTATGATTGGTGTTGTAAAAGTGGTGTAGAAAAGAGTTAAAGCAATAGAAAAAAAAAAGAAAAAATTATATGAAATGTGATTTAATCAAAATATATCAACTATTGATTGGTTTATTATATTTATTATTTATCAAAAATATTTAAGTAAATTTTTTCAAAATAATACAGGTTCCAAGATATTTGATATGATGTTTGGGCGATAAATCAAACATTAAGTGTGCAAGTGTAAATATATTAACATATTTATTGGATTAATTTATGTAACGAATAATGGCAAATACTGTATATAATTAGATTTTGTTTTTATCATTTACATAATTGGGCATACAAACTTTGCATCTAGTATTAATTTGATTAAAAAGAGATCATGGTTAAACAATCTGGAAAGAATTGTTGTTACGTGACCATTAATTAGCAAATATTAATCGGAAAAATTCTTACAATCAAAAATCATTATTATATTAAGAGGTTGTTTGTGGTTAAATAATATGAAGAATTTGTTTGTTATACACGATCATTAATCAGAAAATATTATAGAAAGTATTTTTTTTTTCAAAAATAATTCTTTTAACTTTGATTGATAAAGTTTAGGGGAAAAGCTGAAAGAATGCATAACTTAATTTGTAAAATGCTTGCCTACAAAAGGGAAGAAATTTTTATAAATAAAGAAATATGGAACTCTAAATTGGCACAAAAACTTACACCTTGGTGAAATTATAACGAACTAAGTGCTAATAATTAGGGTTGTTAACGGAACATAATGGGTTGGGTTCATATTATAGTGGAGCAAGGGTTAACCTAACCCAACCCGGGTTAAATGTACTGGGTTAATACTCCATGGGTTGCTCCGGGTTACTACAGGTTACTCCGGGTTATAGTACAAAAAATTAGAAATCTTAAACCACTCCATGATGGAGTGATACATAACCCGGGTTGATGCCAGAACATTATGCTCCATTTAACAACCCTACTAATAATAGCTTGGAATGAATTGAAATTAGCCAATCAAATATGGGAATATTCCTTTTAATTGGCTACATATGCGTAGAATATATTTTCAGATGCAACATGTATAAATAAATTTCGGATATTTGGGATTTAGCTGAAGTCTTATTATTTATTGTATGGATATCTGGGAAATCAGTTATTTTGAATCAAATAGTGATTCGTCAGATTTATCTTATTGTTTATCTGTTTTAGTAGAATCAATAGCTTAATGATTTTTTCATTTATTTTATTTTTTAAATATACTCACATATTGAAAAAATATTAATATAAGATCCTACCATATCACGATATACAAACTACATTACACACAATCTAATGAATTAGAATCAAGCGATGGTGATGATAATGATTCGTTACCACGACAATGTCCACCATAACTATCGCTACTACCATTATCATCGTTATCATCTAGATATTTTTTAACATAGCCATCATTATCATTATCATTGTCATTATTGTCACTAGTATCATTCTCGTTATTGTTGTTATCATTATAATTGCCACTTTCATCATCATAATTACTAGTATTGTTGTTATTACTATTATCACAATCATTATCGATAATGGTTTGAGCCAATCTATCAATAAATCTATTTGAACGATTTCCAAGAGTAAGCGATAAAGATTCAGATTGTTTTACTGGATAATTGAGATTGCTATTATTATCAATATTATCACAATGATCAAATGGGTTAAATGGCGGTGGCGTCATAACGAAAATAAAATCATTATTTGGATTTGTTTTTTGTTGTGCAGATCTCATCATATAATCTCTTATTGGTGATTCTGGATATGATCTTTTATCATTATCATTATAAAGATTATCATCAGTATCAGTATCAATAATATTGTTATCATCATTATAAAGATTACCATCAATATCAATAATATTGCTATCATTATTATAAAGATTATCATCAGTATCAATAATATTGTTATCATCATTATAAAGATTACCATCAATATCAATAAAATTGCTAACATTAATATTAATATTAATGTTGTTGTTTTTGTTGTTAGCGAGTTGATTCGGGATTTGATGGCAATTAAAAGCATTCGAATTTGATGTTGTTGCTTTTTGTAAATTAAAACCATTGATTTGATTATTATTTATTTTACGATTTGTATACAACCTGTCACCACCACCACCAATATTACTACTATTAGAAGAAGATAAACAACGTTTGTTTGTTCTTAAAACATTAATATTTTTATTCCATTTTGGAATATATTTTGAAATATGAGAATGTTGTTGGTTAATAGTAGCTGCTACTGCCGCTGCTATAACATTTTTTTTTGATTCATTTGCCATTTCTTCCATTTTATGCTAAATTATTATCATTATCATTATTATGTTAAAGTAGAGGAATATTTTTTTATTAAAATTTTTTTTTATTTTTTATAATGATATTATTTTTCTCTACCTGCATTTTACCATATTTTTTATTAAGTTTTCCTTCATAGTATTTTTTATCATTGTATGATAATTTTTTGCTATTCGAAGATGACGGCAAAGAGGGCGAACCGAAATGTAATTGCGCATAGTTTTTAAATGATCTTTCTTCTACCATACAAAAAAAAATATAAATATAAATATACATATATATATTCAACAAAAGAATGTTTACGACTACAACAATTAATAAATTATAATACCAAAGTCTGATATTTTAACAACAGTTTTTGAAATTCTATTAAAAACAAATAAAGAAATCAAGAAAATATTAATATATATATGTATATGTATATCGTATAGCAAACAAAAGCAAATATAAACAGTTTGAAAAATAATTATTCTTTTTTAAACCTTGCAAAAGGTACATTCACTAAATCATCGCTTAACGTTGTTTCCATTCTTAAATTTTTATTTTTAAATTTAAAATTAAAAAATTTTTTTATTACTAAACTACTCTCACTCGAATTTGAAACGTCTTCTTTCAAACTTCCGATGCACATTGTAACACAAAAAAATAGAAACGCGTGCGTATATATATAACTAAATTTGCTTTGAGACAAGATCTTGGAATAAATACATAAAACATTAACAATTATCAATATTAGATATAGTAAATATGGATAAATTTCATCTGCATATATTTATTTTATCCGTTAGATTTTATTGATTTATTAAATGAAATAAGAATTGGAAAAGACATTAACAATAATGAATCAATTATCATCTCCTTTACAATATCCTGATGATAATATTGAATTGTAAGTTGTTGGATCTTTACTATATTATTATTATTATGATTATTATTAAATTTATATATATTATTTATTTATTTGTAAATATTATAAAAAGATATTCAAATCGAGATTATTCGTATGAAAATCATATTTATATAAAAGAATTTATTAGTAATTGTCTATATATAACCCAGCACATTGGAATTGAAGCGATGCTTATTAAAACTTTGAAAGAAGGTTTTGTAAATGGAAGTAGAGGTGTGGTTATTGGTTTTCATTCCAAGCCTTTAGAAACAAGTTATTGTATTGATGAACAATTTTCATCAAATAAAGTAAGAGATAATAGATGAAATAGAATGGAAGTCAATAAAAAATGAAATTGTAGTGGCAAGCACTTATCTACTGTTGGTGCTCGATATAGTGACCTACTTTATAATGAATCGTACAATATAATGAAGCTGGGAAATTTCATTATATGTAAATTCAGCTCGATATATATAATGATTTATCCGATCTCTTGATATTGAACGGTTTGTAACTTTTGGTCGTCACATCTTTTGCAAAGTAACAACGTTACAGCATTATATTGGTAGTACAATTGTGATGTTGAGCCCCCAAAAAATTTGCTAAAATGTCGAAAATTTTAAATCGAGTGACTGGTACATTTCAAAATTTGTTATTATTATTATTATTATTATTATTTTAAAAATCGTTTATTGATAATAAATAGTTCTTGATGAATATACACGAAATCGAAATATTCAACATCATTTAAATGTGACAATTACGCGGTGATTCCTGGAATCGAGATCATATCAGGAACCATAACAAAATCGCGAAGAGCTTTTGAAGTTGACGTTAGTCAGTGTCAGCAAGTATAAATTAGAAGTGATAACAACTGAAATAATCATAATCAATTGATTTATATTTATTAGATAAAAAAACCAAAGCAAGAAATAAAAAAGAGCTTGTGAAGCAGTAAGATTTATAATATATAATCATTAACGATTACCTGAAGAACATCCACCAGATGTTCCTAATTATCTTAGAGCTGCAATTAAATCTCTAAATTTCCTCCAAGGAAATTTTGTTCAGTCTGTGGATTCTTATTATCAAAGTATACTTGTAGAACTTGTGGAATAAAATATTGTGGTTTAAAATGTTTTAGAAACTCATAAAGAAACAAGGTTAATATATATTTCTTTAATTTATAAAAATTAATAAACTTATTAAATTTTTTATTTTGTTTTTTTAGTTGTATGAAAAATACCGTCTAAAATATTTCACGTCTTTTTGCTTCAATACTTTTTTTTTGAAAGATTATTAAAATTTGATATTTATTCAAATGTTTACAAATTTCTTGAATAGTTGATCTATTCTCCAGATTAGAGCCCCAGAAACTTTCATTAATTCCTAGGCGTGTCCTTAGTTATCTGAGGCCTTTCTCCATTCCAAATATCTAATATAAGACTTCTATCGTGTGGCCTGTCATAAAATGGGTTTTTACCCATAATCATTCCAGTACCATAAACGTTGGATATTTTTGTATGCGGGATTCCCAATAATACTTCAGGTGGCATGTATGGAAACACCCCAGAGATTTCTTTCGAAATATTATTAACTGAATTATTGTTATTGTTATTGTGACATGGCTGACCTAATCCCAATGCTTATTTCTCTTTTGTTTTTCCAATGATGCATTATCATTAATCCATTTCAACTCTAATGGTTTATTAATTGAGTTTTCATAAAAAAAAATTCTCCCTCCCAGCTACTATCGTCATCACCCCCACTCAACTTCATTATCAAGAACTCCTGTCATCCAATTTTATTCTATTTGTTTTACATCACTTTCTTCCCAGCCAATATCATCATTATCAAGAATTTCTACCAAAGAACCATTTTCAATTCTATTTCTTTTTCCTTTATTTATTTTTTTACGCCAAAATTTCCATTGAACTTATTTCTTGATTTCTTCTTTTGTAATAAAATTACATGTAATATAGTAAATTTTATCACTTTGTACTACGAAATTTTGGTTTTTATTAATAATGTCACTTTGTACCACTGAAATTCAGAAATTGTGGTTTTTAAATTCTAAAAACAATTTCTTTATGTAAGTGTAATAAATAATGTCGCAATCGATTCAAAGAATAGATAAAAGTATAAGTGTAGCATCCTTAATAGCGGTTTTATGTTTTCCACCAATGATATTATATCAAGTAAATAAACGTAAATATTCAAAGTTCAATCAATTCTTTAAATTATGCGCTCGCTCTTTTTCTTTTTTAAATATCTGTCTGTATATAGTTATCTAAAAAAAGACTTGATTTCACTAATAAATTTTCATTTTTATATTTATATATATATGTATATATGTGTATATATATAGATTTACTTTCTAGATCTTTAGATAGCCTACATTTTATATTTTTTCAACTAGTTTTCTTCTTTGCATATCATCATCTTTTAGGAATACCCAGTTTATCAAGAGTTTTAATAAATTATTTTTTTAAAAGTAATAAAAGCAACAAAAGCAATAATAATAATAATAATAATAATAATAATAAATCAAGGACATCGTCAACAACAACAACAACAACAACAACAGCAAATTCCGGATCACCATCTTCTTCAAGTAGATCAACAAATAATTCATCATATGTTCATAATCCAATTATATCGAGTAATAAAAGTTTTTATTTATTTATTATTTTAAAAAAAGTTTAATGATTACTGATTTTTTAATTTTGTTTATTGAACTATTTAGTTAATAACAAATATTCAAAAACGACTAATGAATTATTAAAAAGATTTTTAAAACTTGTTGATACAAAAGATGATAAAGATTCATCATGGAAATTGATACACGAGGAAGGATCTAAATCTGCTGCTGTTACTAATACTACTACTATAGATTTTAATAATAATAATAACAAAAACAACAACAATATTATTAAAATATATCAAAATCCATCGATATCAGAATTTTGTTATAAAATTGATAGTGTAATGGAAAATACACCGGAAACTACATTTGACTTATTGGCAGATATTAAAAGAAGATCAGAATATGATAGTATGGTGGAAGAGGCTAGGATTATTGAGAATGTTGATGATTCAACAAAAGTTCAAGTAGGTGTTTTCGTAAACATTTCATTAGTAACATAACATAAATATATTTATTGATAATAAATAGAACAATAATGATGAGAATATATTTTGCACAATTAGTATGTTCGTATGAGTGCAGTATTCCCAGCAGCGCCAAGAGATTTATTAACAGTTGGATTATTGACACAACTTGAGGATGGTAGAATGGTGATGGTTAATCAGAGTATAGAACATTATTTATGTCCAGAATATCATGGGACAGTTAGACTTAAAGTCGATTTAGCAGGATTTATAGTTGAACGTATCAAAAATCAGCCTAATAAGTGTCGATTAATACAAATATCTGATATTGATTTAAAAACAGGCTGGATCCTAAAATCTCTAACGTCAATAGGTATGTGAATTAGTTGATTAATGAATTTGTGAGTAATTAAAAATTTTTTTCCAAATTTTTTAGTTAATTGGAAATGACTTATTATTTTCATTATTAAGATTTACCATCATATATTAAAAAATTAAATTCAATACTTTTAAAATTACCAAGACAAAGTGTTTCAAAAATGCTTTGTCATACTCCTATACCAATACTTTCATTACAATCATCATATCACAATGGAATAGGAGGAACTCATAGTAATTATTCATCTAAATTTCAAAAAAGAAATATAATTATTTCAGAATATGGTGATGGTGGTGGTAGTGGTAATAATAATAAGGACGACAATAATGTCAATAGTAATAACGACAATGACGATATTAATGACATTATTATTAATTATAATGATAATCACAATAGCAGTAATAATAATGGCAGTAATAATAGATCGATCAATAAATCTAATAATAATTCACCGGCAAACAAAGCTTTTTGGAAAACATTTATTGAAACTATATTGTTTATAGGAGCAAGAGAAGCAGACAATAACAATAAAGATTCATCGTCATCTTTATCTGTTGTTAACACGGGCAAATTTGTTATTGCAGCAGCAGCATACGCTTTAGTACTTTTAGCAGGAATTAAAAAATGGCGTAATAAAAATTCAATTACATGAAAAACAAAAAAATTTATTAATTTTATATTTTTTAAAAATTTATTATTTAATATTTATCATTTTCAGCATCTTTTTTTATATAATTTAATCATCAAAACCATTTTAATATAAAATTCACAACTCTTGCTTATAGATGGAGAATATGTATATTGCAAATTTAATTATTATATTTTTTTGCATGTAAAATTTTATTTATATAATTTTGGGGGGGTTTAAATTTCTACTGTACAAAAAAAAAAAATACATATACATATATATATATTAAAATTACTTTAAAAAAAAGATGCCCAACTAATAAAAATGATAACAAAAACAATAATTGTTGTTATAATTATTATTTTATATAATTTCTAAATGAATTTTGTGATGCTATAAATTTCTGTTTTATTATTGATGATAATGATAAATTATCATTATTATTATTATTATCATCGTCATCGTCATCATCATCATCATTATTGTTATTATTAATTTCTTTTTCTTTTTCTTTTTCATATCGAATATCAAATTCTACGAATTGAATGCACATACCAATCAAACCACCAATAAATCCAATTGACATTAACATTACATCAACATTTTCATCAACTATATAACGATAATCGTCTGGTTGAGTGAAGCCCCAAAATAATTTAAAGGAAGCCAAAACACCAGCACGAACAAAAATATCAGTGCCAAGTAATAAACAATAACAACCAGTTGCGACGGTTGATATGATTGCCACATACTGATAATAATTTTGCAGACCGGCTAATGCAGCAAAGGTTATAGTGAAAGCCCCAATCCAGGAATAACGTGCTATTTGATTTGTGAATAAACCGTCAGTTTTTGTTGATAATGCAAACATTGATAATGAGAATCCGCCAATTGCGCCAACAAGAATTCTGCCAGTTGGCCATAAACATATAAAAAACATTCCGGCTAAAGATCCTATTCCAGTGCATAATATAAAATATATAAAACGTAATGTTGAACTTGGATTTGCAACATCTTGAAATTTCAATATAAATAGTAATATTATCATGCCTATTTTTTTAAAAAAAGAGAATGAATTAGACAATGCAAACGGGATTAAATTGATTAGTATTAGAGGATTATTTTATAAAATGAAATATACCCGTTACATAAAATCCAGCTATAAATATTGAAAGCCATTTATACTTATTTCCACGAAATAAATTAGCCGTGCCTGAAGACAATAAAACTATCCCCGTTAGATAACTAGTAACATCTAACGGATAATTATTATCTCTCGCTAATATAAAAAACAATAATAATTAGCTTACAAATGTAAATAATATAATACATATAATAATAAGTAGTGACTACATAATTACTTGAGTTTACTGTCTCTTCAACTGTTTCATTATAGGGTGGAGATAATTCTTCGCCATTTCTTTCATTGCCAGTTCCTTGCGGTATTGTAGTTGTTGATATTCCTTGTGTTTTTACTGAAGGTATTGTAAATGTTAGTATTAACAATAATATTATTATGAATATTATAATATGATTTTTTCTTTTGTTTATATGATTTATTATTATCATTTTACTGTTATTACAACTACTACCATTTATATTATTATTACTACTGCTACTAATTACTACGATATTATCAGAAGTAGCCAAAAAAATTTGGCGAATTAGAAGAGAGAAAACAAAAAAGATATTAAAAAAATAGTAGTAGTAGATAGAGTTTTATTCGTAATACAAAATTTTGAAGTAATACAACTTTAATTCGAAGAATAAAATTTATTCGTTTATTTATTATTCGCTTTATTCAAACTATTTCTTTTATTCGAATTATTCGTTTTATTTCAAAATTGTCCGTTTTATTCGAATTATTCGTTTTATTCGTTTTATACAAATTATTCGAATAGAAATCCTACTATGACTATTTGCTATATAGCAGAAAAATAAATAAATAACATCTATTACTATTATTATTATCACTTACAAAGGAAAAAAACCAATTACTACGACTATTATTATCAATTGACTAAAAAAAAATGTCAATTATTTCTGCTACTATTTTACCATCACTGTTATCAGGAATTGATAAAAGAAATTGGAATTGGATCAGCAATGTGTATATGCTATTACTATTACTATCAATGAAAATTTTAAATTGCCTATAATAATAAATAATAAATGATTTTGTAAATGTTGCACGAGTATTTTCCATACTTCCAGCTTCGTAATACAGAGATAACGTTGATTTTATCCAAAAAATACATTAATATTAACATCTCATCATGTGATAAAAGATCGAACCCTTTCCACACGAAGCACTCAAGGCATCATTTTGCTTTTTTTAAAGCTTCAGAGCTTTGAATTGATTTTGGAATTTCGAAATAATCTTTGATGTTTTTAAAAACAGTTTCGTCCTTTCAAAATAGTTAATTCGGACTCACGTGATATTAAAAATTCGTGATTTTATATATATTTAGTAAAAATCATCACAGTTCCATTATTATTGTTGTTACTACAGTCTAAGCCATCTATATAACGGATCTTTCTATGACGGATATTATTAATTAACTTTTTATTAAGTATAACGGATTGTATCTGAAAATCACTATCAGCTATATAATAATAAATCAACACTGCCTATAATGGATTCACGTGATCTTCAAATCTAAATTATAATTAAAAAATTTACTATTACCCGTAATCACAAAATAAAAAAATAAAAAGTGTTGTCTATAAAAAATATTTGAAATAAATGACACGAGGTATAATGTAATGAACTAAAAGTATTGATGAAATGGAAAAAAATATTGATGATGATGATTTGCTGAATGAAGAAGAAATGTCGAATTTTAATGAAGAAAAACAGAATGAAGAAGACATCGAAGAGACATTTCCTATTTCAAGTCAACATGTTTTATTGGCTATTGAAAAAAGTAAACTTGTTTGTTTGAACAATAGTTTAAGGAATTTACAAATGAGGAATTGAAACAGTTAAAAAACGTCAAATTAAAAAATAGAATTCAATTCAACAAAACAATCCATATTACTGTTTTTTAAATATTAATTAATAATGAATAATATTTTTTATGTAGTAATAATATTTTTTATGTAATAATAAAAATTTTTTTATTCCGCATGACTTAATGTAGTAGTAGTACAATTTTCTATACCGGATTCTCTCTATAACGGACAAATCTCCTGGTCCCAATGATCCGTTATAGACCGTATGACCATTCTTATCAAAAAAACATTGTCCAAACTAGTGAAAAACTTCTTGGTCTGTTTCAACTTTTCTTTATTAATTATTCTATCAATAATTATTGTTACTACATTACATACACACACGCATATAACTAACAAGTGACTTTATTAACATAATGATAAGAAAGTAATCAAATCAAATCAATCCAATATATATATAGTTTCCGTACGTCCCAAGGAAGCTGTAATGCTATCATACACAGATAAAATTTTAAGAGAGATGATCTCTATGATTTCTTTGTACAAATAATATTTTTAGATAATTGCCTTTATATTGATCTTATAAATATAAGTGAAAGAAGTGGGCAGGGGAACCACACGTCATGTGTAAATATATGGGAGTTCTATTAGTATTTTAATAAACTCAATAGAAAAAAAATTAATAAATAGTAATCTTTATAAATAATTAATCATCAATAAGAATCTATAAAATTTAATTGTATACAAAATGGTCATATAAAAAATCCAGTATAATTTTCTACAAATAGTTTCTAAATTTAATCATATTTTAACAAAACTGTGTGAGAATATTATTAATATATGTATACACGGATTTTATAACCCGCATGTCTTTCCTTTAATATTAATATTAAGAATTAAATAATAATTTGAAATCTGCGTTGGTTACACACCGATTTTATACACTGTTCGTGAATGTTTAAAGAACATTCTCGTATGTATCGATTACGTTTGTAACAAAATGATGATATGTAAACAAACAGTTTATAGAAAACAAGCAGCTTATTTAGCATGAATATTTATTTAATTATTTTTTTTGAATGTTTTATTTGTTATTTTATTTATACATAATATTATTTTTTATAAAGTCGACTCTCTCAATAATAATGTCAGTACACGCCGATTTACTATATATTAATATGGAATTTGTTTACTAAAAATGAATTTGCGTCGATCTGTATCCCATTTTTTTTGAATTCGGCTTTTACATTTCTATTGTGATCGTCGTCTAAAAATAGTATAGAATAGAAAGGACTCGCTAGTATTAACCAGATTTACATTGTATTATTCCCGATAATAAAATATTATTTATTCTGTGGCAAATGTTGTATTTTGTTTGTTATCGTTTAAAGTTCGGTATCTTTTAATTTAAAGTATATACTGCTTAATTTTATGCATATATTAATATGCATAGTTTTAAGAATAGTATTTGATCAACCAATTTTGGATCATCATGATTTGATTTATTTCACATGTTGAATTAAAAAGGCCTTTCACTTCCTTGGCACCGGGAAGACAGAAGAATAGAAGAGTTACATGTATTAGTATTGTTTATTTAGATCTTGACCAGGGGTTTTTGAAATATACACGTATATATAATATAATAAAAGAAACGGGACAAAGCAAGGCAATAATTTTTATTTTCTTCTTATTATTATAATAAAATCAAATTATGGTAATAATAATTAATATATTTATTATTTATTGGTTATTTTAAAATAATATTATCGTAATTCATTTCGTGGCAATCCAGGGCGAAATAAGCAAATATATCCTGTAAATATCAAGTTGATTGATTATATTATTAAGGCAATTCATGTAACGATCTTTAATCATCATTTTAAATCCTACTGATAAATTAGTCGATCAAGGAGACTGTTTGTTTGTTATTTGCAGAGTAAATAATTAAATAATCTATATATTTCTTACATAAAGTGTGCAAAAAAGGAAACACCGAGCTTCTACGTTTAATAAATTTGATTCAAAACACACACACACACACACATATTAAACTATACGGAATCGAATTCTCAGTATTTAGTCGTACAAGTTTATCTTGATTTTTAGTTTGTCGGAGATTATCCGATGAAATTTTAATTCCCAAACATTATAAATACATCGATTAGTCGACGTATATTTGGCAAAAAAGTTTCGATCTCCCTATTTACTCCTATTTCTCTTCTCCTTCACTCTCTCCCACCTTTCTCTAAAAAACATTTGATTTCAAAATCATTAAATAAACGAACAATGATGTTTTTAAAAAAATGTTTTTTTTCGTATTCACATAATTACACAAATCATGATTTTTTTTTAATAATGACGTTGTTATTATTATTTCAAATCGTCCAATCCTACGATTTCGAAATAACTTATAATGATCCTGATAAAAGATTAGGATTTATGAACACAAAACAATCAGCCGATGGAATCATGGTTTTAAGATACGCACGTTATTATAACGATTCTTCGTCTTGCAAATATCCTGAAATCTATTTGAGAGCGTTTCTACCTATTAATGATAATAATGATAATAATCCTGGAAGCATAATCAAATCGTTTATTGTCGACTATCCAATACCAGATTATAATCTTTGTCCGAATGATATGATCGAATATTATATCCTAAACAAAGAATATGTGTTAGTCACGTATGTCGAAGAAGCTCCTTATGACGCTGGTTATCCGTATGATTTGTATGGATTGATTGTTAATACTAATGGAAAAGTCACAAAGTAATTATTTATAATATATATATATATATGTTTTTTTAAAGAATATTATTAATATATAATTATTAATGATAAATCAACCCAATAAATCAAATAGAAGGTTAAAGTTAGGAGCTGATTATCAACATAAAATTGCAGTAAACCTTGTTCCAGAAAATGGTTTCATAGCAATTGATCGTCCAATAAATGCATCTAGGAGTTGGCAAATTTTTAGTCATCCGTAAGTTTTTTTATTTAACAAGCTAATCATCTTTATTTCTTTATATAAAAATTAAATAAATAAATCTCTATTTGATTAGCGATCCGATAACCGGCGATGTCCAACAAATTAATAGTGGAAAACTAGAGTTTACAGATAAGGTTGGGAATGAGAATATCAACTCTGCGATACTTTCTACGGCAGAAGGTGGTTACGCGTTGATTTCAGTGACAAAAACAAACCTCGCGCGTTCAGATGATACATACTACGAACCTGAATGGTCTGTGTATGCAACATTCATAAAACCCGAATTAAATATAGTCCCAAAACCATATCTGATATATGAAACAGCCGAAATTTTAGATTCGCTAGAAATACAAAAATGTAAAATTGCTAACAATGGCATTGGAAATGTTTGTATCTTGCATTTTCGGAAAACTGTTATTGTTGATAAGATAACAAAGAAAAAAAAAACCAAAAATAAAAATAAACCCATTCTAAAATCATTAGAAGCCATTTATCAAATCGGCTTCTTATCGAGCGGATCAGTCACTAAATTTAAACAATTATCAATCGAGAAAGGTTACGAAAATACAATTTGGTCTGTTTATTGTTTATATCAGGGTGGATTTCTTGTGACACATCTCAAAAAGGACGCTATTACAGGTTATTTGGTGGATGATGATGGCAAATTTGTAGAGAATTGGGAGGGTGTGAAAGGTATCAATGTAAATATGGGAGTATTTTATCATAATAATACGGTGTATGGAATTGTACAACAACAAAATAAAAATGAAATTAAAATTTATGCAAATTTCCTAAAAAAATCTCAAGCAATAAATTCAAATTTCCAAAACTCCGTAATAAATTCAACCTTTCCCGAAATCGATTCCACAACTCCTCTCACCGCACTATCAATCACCTATAAAATTCCGGTGACGTTATCCACCCAAAATATCACAGTATATAAATACCCCGAAAATGGTGATGATTTATCATCGATGACTAATTTTAGACAAACGTTTTCAGCATCGGCAGGACTTTGTAACCTGAGTAATGATAATTATACTGTTAACATAACAGTGTTCCCGAGTACATTTAATGAGCCTGGCTCACGATATTTTGTGGTGATTAATGATAATTTTGTTAAATCTCAACCAGAAAATGAACCACTCCTTGGTATATCGAAATTTTATTGGACCTTTACACTGGGGTCACAAAAGAATTACCCAATTTCAAGTAAATTTTATTTCTCTTCTCTAATAATAAAAATTTTGTTTATAATTTAATTTTATTTTATTTTTTGTAGAAGAAGAAGCGACAGGATTACTTTGTTTGACAACTGAAGGAACAGAAGTTTATCAAAGTTATGATGATCCTGATGAATTTCGACGACTTTTAATTGAGCAATTATCTAGCGTAATTCCGATTTCTCCATCAAGATTGAAACTTTCATCCCATACACAAATCGATTCAGCGGCTGCCAAAGAACGAGTGCTTTTTGAGTTGACAATCACTTTGAATAATAATAAACAGGAAAAGGATGTTGAAACAATTATTAAAGATTTAAATAGCTTGATCGCGAATAAAGATTACACGGCCATCTCTAAACACAACATTACTCGTTATTTGGATAGTGAAAAACAATTTGTAATTATACGTATGTATATCTGTAAAGATTTTCCATTTATTTCTAATAATTTTTAGTAATGTGTATATTTTTGTTGATTGGAATAGATAATAATGTTTCGAACAAACCAAATAAAATTTGCATTTATATATTAAGTGCATTTGGTGGATGTTTTCTTGCGTTATTAATTATTTACTTGATCGCAAGAAATAAAAACAAAGAGGTAAATTTGGGGGGGGGGTTTACAAGTAATCAAATTACTATTGTTATTTATATCATTCCAATTAAATATATATTATTCTTATTCTTTAGGCAAATAATTTAACGATATTTCTTGCAGCTTTTGTACTTGGTGATTTAGTGATCGATATACTATTTCTTGTGTTTCATTCAAGGAAGGTCTCATGGTTATTTATTCCAAAGTAAATTTTTCTTTTTTTTTTTCTTCCAAAAAAAAAATCTCAAAATAATAATAACATTTGTTACGTTATTTCATTATAGTTTACTATGTGTAGTAATTCCGTTGATATATAATTTTTCGCTTGCAATAAGTATTTTTATAATCGAGATTAAATCCAATCGAGAATTTGCCAAATGGTTTCAAAAATATTCAAGAATAGCATCAGTGATCACAATATTATCAAGTGCCGACGTTGAAATGTTAGAAATCTTGGATTCTAAAATCTTCAATTTACAAGTTTTTTCAGCACCTTTGTCGTCACAACAAAGGGGTCTTAAACATCAGAGTTTATTTTTTTATGGTGGAATGATGAATTTATTTATTGAAGATATTCCACAATTTATTATTCAAATAATTTACTATTTGAATACGACAACAACTGACATTATTCCTTTCATGGCTTTGATCACTAGTGGCCTTTTGATATTTAATAGGATAATTTGGAGGGTTTATAATGTTTTAATAATCTATTATAAAGCTAAAAAAAGATTAAGTGCGGTTTCAGATTTACAAATCATTTAGTTGTTATTTTTTTTTTCTGCAAAAATACGAATATAAAATATAAATAATACAATATATATATATATGTATGTATGTATGCACATGTATATATAATATATATATGTATGTATGTATGTATGCACATGTATATATATATATGTATATATATATAATATATTTTTATACATGTGTTTTGGCAGAGAAATTACCAAGTTGTCTAAATAATTAATTATTATTATCGACCATCATCAAAAAATCTTCCTGCAATAATTTTAATAAACAAATCCTTATAATTATTATTCTTTTAAATACCTGAAAATAAGAATCTGGAAATAAAAGAAGAAAAATATTATGAATGCAATTTTTTTTTTGATCTGTTTTCAAACAAAAATAAATAAATTGTGTGAATATATTATTAAATTGAAATTAAAATTGTTGTTGAAATTAAGATTTTGTTTTTTTTAATGAATGAATGAATCTAATTATTTATTATTTATACATTTATTTTTATTCTCGAGATACAATATTAAATAGTACCGAACGAAATAAAGTACATATTTCTTTGATGTTTTTCGTGTCGTGTATATTTCAATGGTTTTTTATTACTCATTCATTAGGATGGCTCGAATTATGCGTTACAAACTTATTATTATGTACTACTTGTCTAATGGACTAAAATTTTCATATTTAATCCACTAAATTTAATATACAAGCAATACATGCATTACTTATGTTCCATTTTTGGAATTGTTGCTAATAAAACTTGATAAGATTTCAAATAAAAGGTATAAATATTTCATCAAATGAATTAATTAATTGTCTTAAGTTGTCAATCGAGAAATTGTAGTGTTATTGACGGTCTCAAGGTGTTCTGTTGCAACTAATTTAATAAATTCACAAGAACCAAATAAAATATTGACAGCAGCACATCCCCAAACATCAGTTGGTTCGTCTACTGTAATTCTTATTCCTATCTTTCTAATTCATTATTGTAAACTAATTGCTTCTAGCTTGATGATTTGTAATTTTTTCTTGAGGAATGTCTGCCCGAGTAAATGCGCAAACTAGATCAATGTTTATTTGTTCGCGTCTGTAAGAAAGTCGAGGGTTCATCGTCTTTTTTTAAGATGGTTGTCAATACCGTATTGTCTCAATATAAGAACTACCCACCCACGTGTTAAAATAGTGATGCTTATATTCGAGATAATACGGTGTTTGATTTTCCTAATTGTGTGTAACGATTATTTTTTATTTTTTTTTATTCCAGAACATCAAAGGATGAAAAATTTAACAATCGATTGTCTTAAAGAAATTTTCGATTATTTCGAAGATGATTATAGAACATTATATTCGTGTATATTGGTTAATAAATTGTGGTGTGAGATTAATATCGGAAAATTATGGAAAAATCCATTTTCTTCAATTGATACTATCAAAATATTAATTAATGGTTTATTATTGTTAGGACCAAAAAACATTCTAAGAGAAAATCAGATTAAATTAACATTTAAATTATTAATAGATGAGAATAATAATAATAGCAGCAGCAGCGATAACAACAAAGGTCTTTCACATAATTATTCAAAGTTTGCACGTATACTGTCAATTGATAATCCAGAACTAGTCAAGGAATTAATTGATGAGGACGATGAAGGTGTTAAATCATTGAAGACAAATCTTTTAACTAGAGAGTTGATCAATTTGATTATGAAATATTCAAAAATTCAAATACTTGATTTGGATTTTGTTTCTTGCTATTATTCCTCCTCTTTGTCAAATCTTCTTCATGGTTGTTTTTCGAATATTAAGGAATTGAAATGTTCAAGTAATAACCAATCAGAATTATTGAAGGCATTAATAAATTCAACAAGTAAAAGTATTCAAATATTAGACATTAATAGTATTGGATATAAGGATGATAATAATGATGATTTGATTGTTTTATTAAATTCACAAAACAATGTAAAAAAACTTTATATATGTATTAAAGTTGATAATGATTCATTAGCATATAAAATATTAAATACACTCTCATCATCACCATCGTCATCATCATCATCACCACCACCAATTTCTAATGGTTTAGAAGCATTGTTTTTAAAAGATGGTTATCAATTTTATAATTCATATAATACATCAAATAAAATTATTATTAACAAATTGAGTTCAATCACTTTCCCAAATCTAAAGAAATTCTTTTTTCTTACACACACAACAGGATATATTATAGAAATGGGAAATTTCATTACTTTGAATGGTAAAAATCTTCAAACTTTATGTATTGCTGGTTTAGATTTACCCCCTGCAACAGATGCAATCAAACATTTATTGAGTTCGATTGGAGAAAACTGCAAAAATCTGAAACATTTGTCAATAATCTATGATAATAGTTTAGATAAACAATTGCTTAAAATATTAAAATCATGTGATAAACTGGAAGTCTTCTCATTACATCTAATTGATAATGTTTTAAATTTTGACAAGATTATTAAAGTTCTGTGTCAAGCATCAACAAAAAATCTAAAACTTGTTTCTTTTCAAGCAAATGGAGTCAATGAATTTACTATGATTAATCCATTATTAGATTTTTTACAGAAAAATAATAAAAGTAGTAAAGATTCTCTTCCTACTGCTACTCCTTTTTTTTTAAGATTCTATATTATAGAATTTAATGAGGATTTAATGGATAAATTGGCTCAAATTAAAGAGTTGGTGGATCTGGATTATAAACAAGATAGCTTTTTTCGAGTTAGTGATGTTTTATTTAAACGTGTATTTGATAGACTATCATCATAATATGATTAAAACAATTTTTTTAAAAAAATCAAATATAATAATAATAAGTATATAATAAATAAATAAAAATAATTATTTATTTCATGTAAAAAAATTCACTGTTATTATTATTATTTGTTTATACAGTCTTACTCCACATAAGAACAAATGCTTATAAGAACTCCTTTTGCCATGATAAACTGATTTGATAATAATTTCTGTACAGAACTATAATATTTTTTTCAAAGTCATTTCTAATAATATAAGAACAAATGTCATGTGTAACATATTTTGAAATTTTATTTTAAAGCTTAGAATGGAAATATGCATTACAAATATTCACCAAAATTTATGATGATGATGAGTCAATCCATTTAATAATTTGCTAACCACTTGCAACTGAATAACCATTGCTACCAATGGTTATTATCAAAAAAACTCATGAAACTTTAAAGAAAATTATTAGGTTCAAAGAGTGAAATAACAATAATGATATGGATAAATTGTAAATATTTAGAAATTGACTTTCTTGTTATGAGGAATTAATTGATGGATCTAAAGTATAAGCAAAAGTTGATAATTATTAGATAATTAATATTGATATAATTTATATTTAATAATGAGCCTTCATTTAATAAAGAACATTATAATTAACAAAACTGAAAACCTTTCTATAGTAACAGCATGTGGTGACATTATTGTTCTTTAATAGAGATAAGAATATTTCTTCCTAAGAAAACATTTTGGCTCAACCAACAGTGTTTTTATGGAGGCATGACTATGTCATGATTATCAAAAATTTATTTGGAATGAAAAAAATTCATTTAATAAAATAAATGACAAAGGCCTCAATACCAATCCGCATTGGTCTAGTGGTTAGGATCTCCCGCTCTCACCGGGAAGGCTGGGGTTCAATTCCCCAATGCGGAATTGCCCTTTTATTAAAATTGTTATTTATCATTTGGATGAGAATCTTTTGTAAAACACTATTTTTTGATGAATTGTTTTAATTCAAAGAAAATTCCCTTTCAGCTTTCTCTTGTTGGTTGATTCTGTTTGATGATATTGTTTAGAGGTTACATACAAACTGGCTTGAACCACAATCATTAAGAGTTTTTGGTTCGAACCAACTATGTGATTTGAACAAATGCACTACATGCACTTACATTTTAAAATAATGATTGTACAAAAATGCACATAATAAATAAATAATAAATAATGTCATTTTGTAGATAAAAATATTTCTTGCTTCAAAAAAAAAAATCAATTGTTCATAATAATCTTATCCATGTGATAATATGCATTTTTCTTGAATAAACATTTATTTATGTTGTTTTGAAATTTTTTATAAACAAGTACATATAAATTTTTGAACAAATTCTTTGAAAAGTCTCAACTGAAAGTCAATGTGGAATGATCATCAGTCTTTATAAACCAATGTATCCAAATATATTAAATACATCTGGAATTTTTGGTTCATAGAATAAACAATGTCTCACATATACATGCAGCCCAAATTAGTTTGATGATTTTGATGGTCAAAATTATTCCAATTTTGATGGTAGTAAGTAGAAATTAATTACGGCATTCACTATTAAAAACATAAGTGTAACACCCCTTTACTACATGTGTAACCCCCTTTATGACAGTGTCAAAATACTTTGGGCTGCATGTATAATCATGTAGTTTGCCTTTTTTGTCAATCAATATTCATCACATCTGAAATTTGTCACTGAAAATATATTATTCTCTAATTAACATCATCAATGCTAATAAAAAAATTATTTTTGACCTGGCATATTTTTATTATTATTGATAGTATTATTAATGGAGAAATTTTTTTTTGATATTGTTGTTGTGGGAATGAAATCTATGTTGCAATTCACACATATGAAATTCAAATTAGCCAATCAGAATTTCACAGTGTTGGCAATTTAACTGATTCAAATCTTTTTTTGAACTATTTGAACTTTTGAACTGTTAATTCAGTTAATTAGTTAAATAACTTGCTGAACATTTGAACTTTACTGAGCAGTTATTTAACCAACCTGCAAGTTATTTGGCAAAGTTCATTACACATATGGAAAACAGTATCAAATATTATTATTATATGTACTGTTCTCTGGATGCAGAGTTAATAACTCTGATTTTAGAAAAGAACAATGTTTATTTACACCTTGGTTTAAAAATTTATCAATTCTGTACACAGAGGAACAGCTTAATAGGAAATCATAAAAAAGGTATAGGTGATAGAAACAAAAACAGGAGAGACCATCCTATATAAGGAATGGATTTTCACAATTGATTTCAATTTTTTTTATACAGTTTAAAATACTTTTACAAGGGTATCA